TCATTAAATGAATTGTCCTTAAGTTGAGGCTTCCCAGTAACGGCTTTCGACTCCTTTGGACTTTGGAAACTCTCGAATTTATTTATTTATTCCATTAGTTGAGCCATTGATCCGATGGTCTGGCTTGTCTTTTTTATCCATCCATTCCACCAAATTAGGATATACCGCCGGTCCTGGCATAAGCTGGAAAGAAGAAAACTGTTTTATTTTCCGCCAAAGGCAAAACTGGTTTTCTATTTGTCCTCCCATTCCCTGCCTGACGATGAGGGAGAGAAGAAAATCCATGTCGAGTAAAAGATCCTCTGAGGATGTTAAGAAATTTCTTAAAGCTAATTCGCAGCCCCTAGGAATAATAATAATAATAACAACAACAACAGCCAGGATGATCATAATCCTTAATTGCCGTTAAAGGAAAAATTAAAACAATCTATGCAAGTGTTGCTAACCTTTTTGGGCTTCTGTGCCAAAAATTGTGTACACGCTTGCGCACGCTCACATGCCAGCATCCAGAAGGCAATGCACGGGCTCCCTGTGCACGTATGCGCAATCCCCCCCTGCCACCCCCTTACCTGCACTGTGCCTCACAGTTGTTTTTTGGCCGGTTTGAGGCCTTTTTCGGCCTCCCAGAGGCTTGAAATAAAGCCTCTGCAAGCTTTGCAGGCCGAATAATAGGCCCGTTTCGTCACTTCCAGTATTACAGGGTTGAAAAGGGCCTCAAACCAGCCGAAAAATCAGCTGTGAGGTGCGCGCATGCGCAGTGAGGTCAGTTTGCTTGCGGCTCCCGTGCCAGCAGAAATGGCTCTGTGTGCCACCTGTGGCATGCGTGCCATAGGTTTGCCATCACGGATCTATGCGGTGGAAGTCTGAGGACACAGCTATGGAAGGTCATTCTCTGAGTACATTTTAAAGAGGGTTTAGGCCTCGTTTCTCCTTTCTTCCTTGGTGGCTTATTATGTGCAGGTAGTCCTCAACTTATGACCACAAAATTGAGACCAACATTTATGCTGCTAAGTGAGACATTTGCCAAGAGAGTTTTGCCCCCATTTTATGAATTTTCCTGCTGGAGTTGTTAAGTGAATCATTGCATCATTGTTAAGTTAGTACTCCTGGGCCAGATCTAAGCAACCCGCAGGCCGGATGCGTCCCCAGGGCATTGAGTTTGATACCCCTGCTCCAGACAGCAAACAACCCTAAAATCAGTTGAACCAATTAAAAACACAGTACGATAAAGGGGAAAAAAACCACAGTCCTGTTGGTGCTTGGAAGGTCTTTTGTTCATTCATTCTTTTTTATTTTTTTAAATTTTATATTCTGCCCTTATTATTTTGATAAACCATGCATCCACCCACCCACCCACCTATGGATGCATGTCTATCCATTCATCCATCCAACCAACCAACCACTCACCCAACCATCTGCATGCATCCAAGCATCCGTCCATGAGTCCACCCACCCACCTGTCATGCATGAATCTGTCCATGCACCCATCTCTGCATGCATGCATTCACCCATCCATCCCTCCTTCCATCCCTCCCTCCTTCCTTCCATCCATCCATCCATCTCTGCATACATGTACCCATCCATCCATCCCTCCTTCCTTCCATTCCTTCTTCCATCCCTCCTTCCTTCCTTCCTTCCTTCCTTCCTTCCATCCATCCATCTCTGCATGCATGCACCATCCATCCCTCCTTCCATCTCTCCTTCCCTCCATCCCTCCATCACTGCATGCATGTACCCATCCATCCATCCATCCCTCCTTCCATTCCTTCTTCCGTCCCTCCTTCCTTCCAACCATCCATCCATCTCTGCATGCATGCACCGATCCATCCCTCCTTCCATCACTGCATGCATGCATTCACCTATCCATCCATCCCTCCTTCCATCCCTCCTTCCTTCCTTCCATCCATCCATCCATCTCTGAATGCATGCACCTATCCATCCATCCCTCCTTCCATCCCTCCTTCCATCCCTCCTTCCTTCCATCCATCCATCCATCTCTGCATGCATGCACCCATCCATCCCTCCTTCCACCCCTCCTTCCATCTCTCCTTCCTTCCTTCCATCCATCCATCCATCTATCCATCCATCCATCCATCACTGCATGCATGCAGAGATAGATGGATGGAAGGAAGGAAGGAGGGATGGAAGGAGGGATGGATGGAT